ACATCAAGGAGAAGAAGCTCAGCATTTCCACCATCCCAGGTGACACCAGCCTTTCAGCTGACCCCTCCACCATGCCATTCATGGAAGTGATGTCTGAGCTGTTTGGGATGCTCCAGCTTAGCTAAGCCCTCCAATGACTTCAGTCCCAGCCGACACCACAAGGAACAGAAGAACCACCTAGCTAAGCCCATCAATCCTCAGAGTCAAGCAAAACAGTAAAACGACTTATGTTTTAAGACACTAAATTTGGGGATGGTTTGTTACATGGTAATAGATAAGCAAAATACCAACTACAGATTATTTGAGACTAAAGAGTAATAAGGGAAGAGACCTACCATAAACCTACTGAAGGCAGTGGGGTGATAATTATCAGTGGCTAACAAGTCCGTTTACCTAGCACTGCCACATTCTGTCTGTCTTCCTCGACACTCGATTTTACATAGCTGCAATTATTATCATTTTTATGACAGTCTTGTTTTGCATGATATTACTTATCACATTTTTATATGTTATACATAGTTTGAATGAAGTACTGCAGGGGTAAGAAGAGCCAGATCAGAGTAGAAATATCAAGTTGAACAGTTGGCATAAATTGCTGCTTGGGCCCTCTATAAATGACCACGGCAGGAGAGAGTAGTCTAGGCAAGAGATGGATGCAAAGAAGGATTGCAGAAATGGTCTCAGCTTTCATCAGGGAAAAGAGTGTATGACTACAAGGGAAATAGCATGCTAGACTTTCAACAACATAGAAGGAGGAAGTTACTAACCAAAGAGCCACGACCTTGAAGTTAAAGTCTTGGGGGAACAGAAATTAGAAGAGCTACAAGGACAACAGGCGAGGGAAAGAAAACACCATTAGATTACATATAATCTATAATATATGAAGAATTCTCATAGAAGGAAATAAGCAACACAGTAGAAATTAACAAGGATCTGAATAGGAAACTCACAGGAAAAAAAATATAAACAACCAATAACCATACACAATATGCTAAGAATCACCAATAATCAGGGAACAATTAGTTGTTGTTTTTCTCACAACTCGAAAGAGTTCGTACTAGTCAGCAATGAAGAGATTGTGGGAAAGTATGACCTCTGATAGATGGTGATGGGAGTATAAAATGATACAGTTACTTTGGAGAGAATTCAGAAATATTTATCAAATTTTAAAATATGCGTAATACCCCCTTTGGCCCAGTAGAAATCTATCCTGTAGAAACACTCCCATAGGTACAGAAATATATGTATACGTTGTTGTTTAGTCTCTAAGTCATGCCCGACTCTTTACAACCCCCTGGATACGTAGCTGCCCAGGCTCCTCTTTACATGGAATACTCTGTCCATGGGATGCTCCAGGTAAGAATACTGGAGTGCGTTGCCATTTTCTCCTCACAGAGATCTTTCTGACCCAAGGATCGAACCCCTGTCTCCTGTGTCTCCTGCATTGCAGGTAGATTCTTTACCATTGAGACACCTGGGTATAACAAATATATATATATATAACATAATATATATAACAAAAATTATATATTTAACAAAAATATTCATTGCAGCATGTTTCCTCCCAACCAGCATGATAGCTTCATGAGAGTGGGCACTTTGCCCTTCAGTCCTGTATTGTCAGAACTAGATCACTTTCTGAAACATAGAAGATGCTCAACAGACATTTATTGAATAAATGAATGGGACTGAACATTGGAAACTAATTTTCTATCAGTAGGAAATATTTACATCCACCCTACAGAATACTATTAGCTCTTAGGTGGTGCTAGTGGTAAAGAACCTGCCTTCCAACGCAGGAGACATAAGAAATAGGGATTTAATCCCTGGGTCCCTGAGATCCCCTGGAGGAGGGCATGGCAATCCACTCTAGGATTCTTGCCTGAAGAATCCCATGGACAGAGGAACCTGGTAGACTACAGTCCATAGGGTCACAAAAGAGTCAGACATGACTGAAGTGACTTAACCTGCACAACCTATGTGTAGTGACACTGAAAGATCTATGGGACCAATTATGAGTTAAAACAAAATAATGATAATTACAGTAGAAAAATTTTTTCATCATTGAAGGATTGATTTAGTGGATTGTGATTTAAATAAATCAAATCTTAGGCACCTACGTTTTTTGATTTTTGCTTTTACTTTTATTTGGATTTTTTTTTTTTTTTTTTGCGGCATTTATTCCCAGGCCATAGTTTTTGTTTCTTCAGTTTCTTCTGGGATCTCTTTCTTTTGTGCAACCTCCTCTTCTGATTTAGGGCTTCCTTGGTGGATCAGACAATAAAACGTCTGCCTACAATGCGGGAGGCCCGGGTTTGATCCCTGGCTTGGGAAGATTAGGAATAATCTGCTCCTTTCCAGTGAGGATCATCTCAGTGTGACTGGGAGAGCTCATGCATGGGTTGATCCGACCATGAGCTCTGCAAGTCCTGCGCCAACAGCAGATGGTTTTTAGAGGTCACCTTTAGGCCGATTATGGAAAAGGAACATCTATTTTGATGCTGGCCTTGGTCCATGTTTATTATCATTGAAAGATGTCTGTGACATTGCACCTCCCTTGAAAATAGCCTGTTGAATGTTTAGAACATATCAGGATTTTCCCTCTTAATTCTCATCACTCCCCCTATGTGATAGGTACTGACGTTCCATTTCACAGCTAAGAACACTGAAGCTCAAAGAAAGTAAGTAATTTGCCCAGTTACACTGTGACAGAGCCGGAATTTAAACCCAGTGTGACTCCAGAGTTCCTGCTCTTAAACTACCCAAGGATAAAGTGACCATATGTTCTGATTAAGGCCAGAATAATTATGAATAGTGTCCCCTTTGTTTCCAAAAAGTTTCAGACACAGTCAATGCATTATGGTCCCTCTACCTACAGAACCTACATAGGTAGCAGAGTGTTAAGAGTTCAGTTTCTGGAGCCAAATTTGGGGCAGTTTGCTCAAATTCTTCAATTCGGTTTGCTTACATATAATATGGAGATAGCACAAGTAATGCCTCAGATAGTTGTGAAAGTGCTAAATATTTGGTTTAACATTTTTTAAGTGCCTGGCACACAGGAAGTACCAGATTAATTATTAACCTGCTTACACAAAGTGTGTGTGTATGTGTATTGAGAGATATCTGGAAAGATGTTCAAAAAACAGTAACAAGATATCCCCATTAATATTTTAAATATATATATGCATTCACCAAAGGATGTGTCTTTTTGACATTGTGTGTTTTGAATACTGAGTGTGTATTTAACATTGAATAAGCATCTTGACAAGCACTAAAAAGCCACCTGATCTCTATGGCATCCTGCTTGCTATATGGATGTGAACGCCCCAAAGATGATCAAACAACAGCAATTTAAAGACTATTAAATTAAGCAAAAATAAAATGATCGCTCTTATCATTACCATTTCAGATTGTGTATCACTTGATTTGAGCTTCCGGGGTAGCTCAGCTGGTAAGGAATTAGCCTGCAACGCAGGAGGCCCCGGTTTGATTCTTGGGTGGGGAAGATCCCCTGGAGAAGGGATAGGCTACCCACTCCTGTATTCAGGGGCTTCCTTGGTGGCTCGGATGGTAAAGAATCCACCTGCAACGTGGGAGACCTGGGTTTGATCCCTGGGTTGGGAAGATGCTCTGGAGGAGGGCATGGCAACCCACTCCAGTATTCTTACTTGGGGAATCCCCAGGGACAGGGGAGCCTGGCGGGCTACAGTCCATGGGGTCACAAAAGGTCGGACACGAATGAGCGACTAAACACAGCACAGCACATCATTTGATTTAACTGATATGTTAAATGAAATCTAAAGGAATGGCTCAACTTCTACATTTTCTCTCAACTAATTGTAAGTGAAACACTTGAGATCTAGGCAATCTTTGGACTAGAACAATTTGCAAGTAAGAAACTTCAGGGGCTGCGCTAGAACTTGAACTCAAGGGCACCCGCAGGGAGGCTTGGGGGAGGGGAAAGGGCGGGTCTCTCTGCCCATTTCCTCTCTCCCCTGCCCGAGGTCAAGTGTGTTAGGAGGCAGAACTGATTTGAATCACATAGGTGGATATCGCCGCTAGCCTGTGCGCCTTTGGCAGCCTGGAAAAGACAGCCAGCACATTTTTACTTCCCAGGTTATTCTACTTCATGTACAATTTCAAAACTGAGTTTTCCGGGTGAAACTAAGCCCTGGTAATGGAAGTCAGGAAATCGGTTCACTTTGGGGAGAGATTAGTGACTACCTGGGATAGGGCCCGAGAAACCTTCACAAAAGTTTCCATAGACTGGGTGTTTCCAGGGTCTCTACCGATTCATAAAGCAGATGAACTTTCGCAGCTGTTAGAATCTTAATTTTTAACCTTGCTGTTACTTTGTTTTCTGTCGTTACTGGGAGCTCTGGTCACATTCATTTCAGGGCGCACAAGGAGAATCTCGGGGCTGGTATATTAATAAATGAAATGAACGTCGGTGATCCGGCCCTCCAGACACACTGTCCTCCCCCGACCCCAGGCTCCGCAAACCACTTAATCCAGTGTCATCTGCAACACTTCGGGGACTTGGGAGGCAAGAGATGGCGAACAGAAACCCCGCGCAAAGTAGATAATGCCAGCAACTCACCTGCCTCCCGTTGACCTTCTGAACAAGTCGCCGGGCGGTGGGCGCCCGGGGTGGGGGGTGGGGGGGTGCTGCGGCCCCAAATGGAAGGCCAGGCTCAGGGCGTCTCGGACAAGTCCCACCCGCCGAGCGGACGCGCCAGGAGCCGCGCGCTCTCGGAGGGCTCCCTGGGACCACTGGTCGCCCGCACCTCTAGCGAGTGGCGCGCAAACGCGAGCCCGGACTGCTTACTCGGCACCGCCCGGCGGGCTCTCAGCTGACTCGGGACAGTAGATGCCTTGTTGCCAGCAAATCCAGACGGCTGCCGCTCGGCGCGCGGGGTCCAGCTGTGCCCAGCGCGCCCCGCCGAGCGCCGTCCCCACCGCGCGTGGGGCCCCGCGGGGCGCCTAAGACGCCCACTCACCTGGCACGCGGCCGGATCTGCTGGGTGTAGTCGTCGCATCGCTCCTGGATGATTTTCTGAAAATCGGCGGTGCTGCCTCTCCCGTGCCACCTGTTGAGCCCTGAGTGGTGCCACTTGTAGATTCCGATCGCCCCCCCGGTGATCCCCGCCACCAGGAGGCACAAAACAACGAAGCAGCAGAGCTTCTTCTGGGTGCCGCAGTCACCCATGGAGTTCGATGCGGGTCGCCGGGACCAACTTGGAGAAGAGGCTGCTAGAGTCCAAGCGACCGGGGAGGAGAGCCCTAGCCCGGTTCTCAAACTGCACTTCCCCTTTAGCGCTCGCTCGCCTTTTCTCTCGCTTCCTTTCCTGCTCCTCCCCCCTCCTTCGAAGTCCCTCGGTGGCGATCGCTCGACCAATAAGGATCTCACGGTCTTAAAAAGCCTTCAGCCATTCACTTCCTAGATGGCAAGAGTGAACATCGACAGTTTAGGAATCAGCGAACTAAAATGGACTGGATCAGATACATGGATTATATTCTTTGCAGCCAAAGACGGAGAAGCTCTATACAGTCAGCAAAAACAAGACCGGGAGCTGACTGTGGCTCATATCATGAACTCATCATTGCCAAATGCAGACTTAAATCGAAGAAAGTAGGGAAAACCCCTAGACCATTCAGGTATGACGTAAATCAAATCGCTTATGATTATACAGTGAAAGGGACAAATAGATTCAAGGGGTGAGATCTGATAGGCAGGGTGCCTGAAGAACTATGGATGGAGGTTCATGACATTGTACAGAAGGCAGTGATCAAGACCATCCCCAAGAAAAAGAAATGCAAAAAGGCAAAATGGTTGTCTGAGGAGGCCTTACAAATAGCTGAGAAAAGAAGAGAAGCATAAGGCAAAGGAGAAAAGGAAAGATATACCCATTTAAATGCAGAGTTCCAAACAATAGCAAGAAGAGATAAGAAAGCCTTCCTCAGTGATCAGTGCAAAGAAATAGAGGAAAACAATAGAATGAGAAAGACTAGAGATCTCTTCAAGAAAACTAGAGATACCAAGGGAACATTTCATGCAAAGATGGGCACAATAAAGGACAGAAACGGTATGGACCTAACAGAAGCAGAAGATATTAAGAAGAGGTGGCAAGAATACACAGAAGAACTGTAATAAGATCTTCACGACCCAGATAACCACGATGGTGTGATCACTCACCTAGAGCCAGACATCCTGGAATGTGAAGTCAAGTGGGCCTTAGAAAGCATCACTATGAACAAAGCTAGTGGAGGTGATGGAATTCCAGTTGAGCAATTTCAAATCCTGAAAGACAATGCTGTGAAAGTGCTGCACTCAATATGTCAGCAAATTTGGAAAACTCAGCAGTGGCCACAGGACTGGAAAAGGTCAGTTTTCATTCCAATCCCAAAGAAAGGCAATGTCAAAGAATATTCAAACTACTGCACAATTGCACTCATCTTACACACTAGCAAAGTAAATATCAAAATTCTCCAAGCCAGGCTTCAAAAGTACCTGAACCATGAGCTTCCAGATGTTCAAGCTGGTTTTAGAAAAGGCCAACTATTTCTGCTTTACTGACCATGCCAAAGCCTTTGACTGTGTGGATCACAACAAACTGGAAAATTCTGAAAGAGATGTCAATACCAGACCGCCTGACCTGCCTCCTGAGAAATCTGTGTTCAGGTCAGGAAGCAACAGTTAGAACTGGACATAGTACAACAGACAGGTTCCAAATCTGGAAAGGACTGCATCAAGGCTGTATATTGTCACACTGCTTATTTAACTTATATGCAGAGTACATCATGAGAAATGCCGGCCTGGATGAAGCACAAGCTGGAATTAAGACTGCCAGGAAAAATATCAATAACCTCAGATGTGCTGATGACACCACCCTATGGCAGAAAGTGAAGAGGAACTAAAGATCCTCTTGATGAAAGTGAAAGAGGAGAATGAAACATTTGACTTAAAACTCAACATTCAGAAAACTAAGATCACGGCATCTGGTCCCATCTCTTAATGGCAAATAGATGGGGAAACAGTGGAAACAGTGACAGACTTTATTTTTTTGGGCTCCAAAATCACTGCAGATGGTGATTGCAGCTATGAAATTACAAGATGCTTGCTCCTTGGAAGGAAAGTTATGACCAACCTAGACAGCATATTAAAAAGCAGAGGCATTACTTTGTCAACAAAGGTTTGCCTAGTCAAGGCTAAGGTTTTTCCAGTAGTCATGTATGGATGTGAGAGTTGGACAGTGAAGAAAGCTGAGTGCCAAAGAACTGATGCTTTTGAACTGTGGTGCTCAATATTCATTGGAAGGAATGAATGGCCAATACTTTGGCCACCTGATGTGAAGAACTGACTCATTTGAAAAGACCCTGATGCTGGGAAAGATTGAAGGTAGGAGAAGAAGGGGACGACAGAGGATGAGATCGTTGGATGGCATCACTGTCTCAGTGGACATGAGTTTGGGTAAGCTTTGAGAGCTGGTGATGGACAGGGAGGCCTGGCTGCTACAGTCCATGGGGTCGCAAAGAATCAGATATGACTGAGCGACTGAACTGAACTGAACTGAACTGTTCACTTTGGAGCAGAGGGAGCCAGGCTCCACATCTTCAGGGAGAAGCCACCACTTTGTCTTTACTTGTTGTTCAGTTGCTTAGTCGAGACTCTTTGCGATCCGTGAACTGCAGCCCACCAGGCTCTGCTGTCCATGGATTTTTCCAGGCAAGTGGGTTGCCATTTCCTTTCTCTGGAGAATCTTCTCCACCCAGCCTCAAACCGGCCTCTTCTGCATTGACTAGCGGATTGTTCACCACTGAGCCACCTGGGAAGCTCTTGACCTTACTGGCAGATGCTCAAAGAACAGACAATATAACTATACACCTTGGTTGGCTCCCTTTCCCAAGCTGAACTTGACACAAAGTGACTGTCTGCCTCCCAGCCTGTGTGCGTGCAGTGCCTACCTCTGCTTATCATTTTGAGAAACGCCTGCTCAGCCTCCTGTAAAGGCTCTGCTTAAGCCTTCTCTCCAGCGGCATCAGTGTAAGTTCCGGCTGGGTGCTGCGGGGTAAGCCACTTGACCTCTTTGTGCTTCAGATGTAAAGTGAGCACCATAGTCATACTGACTTTTCGGGGTTGTTATGAGGATTGAGTGAGCTCATTATTACCAAGGGCTTCCCTGGTGGCTCAGATGGTGAAGAATCTGCCTGCAACGTGGGAGACCTGGGTTCGATCCCTGGGTTGGGATCCTCTGGAGTAGGGAATGGCTGCCTACTCCAGTATTCTTGCCTGGAGAATTCCATGGGCAGGGAAGCCTGCCACAGAGGAGCCTGGCGGGCTATAGTCCGTGGAGTCGCAAAGACATGACTGAGCGACTTTCACTTCACTTCTTCACGTACCAAGTGTTTAGCTAGGCACATGATAAGCACTCACCTACTCCCTGAGGCTGTCGACAGGATGCAGTTCTGTAACCCATGCGGTGCTGCTTGGATCATGCCTGGCATGTGTCTGGCATGCAGTAAGTACTCAAAGTAGTGATTCAGTAAATAATCCAATGGCTTTTCCCAGCACCCACTGCATTGCCTCTCTCAAAGTTCTACACTAGGAGCATCTCTGATATTTCAGCAGAGACCTAAGGAAAGTGATTTCCAGGGGCAAAAAATTTCCATACAGTGTAGAGAGCAGGTGCCAATACCCTGAGGCAGGAAAACTCCAGAAGGTAGTGGAGGACGAGGAGCCTGGTGTGTGTCCATGGGATTGCAAAGAGTGAGACACGCATTAGTGACTGAACAACAAGAAAAGCTCTTGGTCTGTTATGCAGGGCTGAGGGAGGAAGATCAGGAGAGAAGTTCAGAGGGTAGGAGGAAGGCAGGCCACCTATGGGCCTGCAGCACAAACGAAGGACTTTTTAAGGTCACTGAGTGACCTGATCAGATATGACACTTTAAAGGTTCCGTCTGGCTTCTGTATTGAGAATAAATTGTAGGAAAGTAAAGATAGAAAGGTGGACACCCGTTATGATGACTGTAACCAGGAGAGTAACAGCGGAAGCAGCAAAGAAAAAAAAGGAAGTTGCATTCCTGATGTAGTTTGAAAGCAGAAGCATGGGAATTTACTTATGAGTTGGATGTAGGGTTTACCAGAAAGAGGGGAGTCTAAGATGACTCCAGTAATTTTGGTCTGAGTAACTGACCAGAGAAAGGACAGAATTGCCATGTACAGCAAAAGGAAAACTGGGGGTGAAATAGATTTGGTTTTGGGGGGAAAAGGCATGAAGCAAGAATTTGGCTTCAGAGGTGTTAAGTTTGAGATGCCTATTAGACTGCGAGAGCAGACACCAAGTGACTGATGGGATATAAACATTTGGCAAGCAGGCCAGGGGTTAGTCCTGGAGACATAGGTATGGACACATACAGTTGTTGTTTTTTTACTTGATTCACATCTTAGCCATTTGTAATGTGTTAGAACTTTTGTTCATGTATTTATTTTTGACTGTGCTGGGTCTTTGCTGTGCGGGCTTGCAGACAGCGGGGGCTACTCCCTAGCTGCAGTGCGCAGGCTTCTCCTTGCTGTGCCCTCTCCTGTTGCAGAGCACCGGCTCTCGGTACATGGTCTTAGTTGCAGCATGCCGGCTTAGTCGTTGCAGCTCCCAGGCTTAGTTGCCCGTAGCATGGGGGATCTTCCCAGACCAGGGATTAAACCCAAGCTCTTCCCTGATACTGGGTCTTCACAGATGCCATCACCTCTTCACCCCCCTCCCCACCCCTGCTCCCATCCCCAGCCAACTCCTCCTGATTTCCTTCAATGTGACTTTCTCTGGAAGCCTTTCCTGACCCCATGGAGCTAACAAACTGGGTTAGGTCTCCAAGTTGTATACTTTCCTAGCAGAAAAACACAGATGCCAGTGACCATACAGAGGCCCAAATCTCTGGTCTGGACCACCTAGACCAAGAATACGTCCTCTGAGAATTTCTTCAAGATGTCCTCTTCAACTGGACCAGAGTTTGCTTGAGGCTGGGTCTGCAGGAATAGTAGCTCATTCTCTCAGTATCCTGGGACTCAAGTTGGTGTCCACAACTGCTGGTTGAATGAATAGATGAATGAATCACAGACCAGAGTCTTATTTCTGGCCCCTGCTACCCCATCCTTTCCAAACTAGATTCAGAGGGTTACTTTTGCAATCTCAGATCTACATGAAATAGTATGAA